CACCTTGTTCAGTTTTTTGCAAATAAAGACAGGTCCTTCTATGAACGAGGAATTATGAAGCTCACTGAAAGATGGCAAAAGGTTATTGAACAAAATGGGCAATATATCATTGATTGATCTTTGTTCTTTATATAAATAAATGACCTTTTAAAAACAGACAAAATACATCATGACTTTTCCGACAGCCCAATATAACAGGGCAGAAGTCAGGGAAAAACAGCAAAGATTTACCTTCTGAGTCTACTGAGCTTCAGCTTGAAATTTTAGTTTTCCTAGTGAATGTCATCCATGTCTGAGTCTTAGTTAAAAATAAATTAGTAGGGCCGGCCAGTTTGCTTAGTTGTTTAGAGCGCAAGTTCTGAGCAACAGGGTCCCAGGCTCAATTCCCACATGGGCCAGCGATCTGTGCCTGAGCTGAGCTGCCAACAGGCAGCCAGATGGCTCAGCTGGTGAGAGCGCGTGCTCTTAACAACAAGGTTTCCGGTTGGACTTCCGCATGGGATGGTAGGCTGCACCCCCCACAACTAGATTGAAAGCAGCTACTGGAGTTGGAGCTGAGCTTGCGCCCTCCACAACTAAGATTGAAGGACAACAACTTGACTTGGAGCTGATGGGTCCTGGAAAAAAAACACAATGTTCCCCTTCCCCAATTCCCCAACACTGTTCCATTCCCCAATTCCCCCAATAAAATCTTTTTTAAAATAAATAAATAAATTAGTAGTTATTGATAGCTTTTCCTGATGTCCAATCTTTTATTAAAGTAAAAAAAATTACTTGCTTTAAATTTTATTAACGTGAAATAGTCTTAAATTATTGAGCCACAGTCTCAATAGACTTTATTTAATAATTAAAAACAAATACTTGATACAGATAAAATGACAATGAAAAACTACAATGCTTGCCATGTTGGGGCAAATGTATACAAATGGGGGCTTTTCGAAAATAATACCAAAGATGAATGCTCAGTTTTCATTCAGTTTTATGATTAGCTGTAAGGTGGCATATATGTTTGCCTGGTTAAAAAAACAAAAACAAAACAAACAAAAAAACATGTATTGTTTTGTACAATAAATTATACAAAAGTTGACCAGTAGAGGGGGCAAGCATAAAGTCATAGTACAAGACAATCTAAAGTCAAATAAGCATTTTCACAGGCAAATTATGGGGTTCTTCTAACCCCATAATGATTCAGAAGGACTTCCCATAGTCGGCAGTTGCCCACAGAAATAGACAGGAAAGTCCTTGAGCAGCTTGTTGTATACAAGAAGCACATATCCTTAAAAAGTCGCCAAAAGAGAAATTCATTTAATTATCCAATATACACTTATTGAGTACCTATGAGGTACCAGGCACTAGTAACACAGATGAAGAGTACATGGGTAAAGCTTAAATTCAGATTGGTCTTAAAAAATACTTCTACCTGGCCCGTGGGACCACCTACATCTTCTGAAAAAGCTCTGCGTATTAGGTAAGGGAGAAATTTCATCTTTAAAAAGAAATGCACCAGGGTACAGTGATAAAAATTCTAACATTTGTGAGGCCTCGTGGAATGGTGGGGGAAAGACTGAATCAGGAGTAGGGACACCTACTCCTGTTACTTATTAGCTGTGTGACCTTAAGTAAATTTCACTTCTCTGGCCCTAATTCTTCATAAGTATGATGATAACTAGGCTACAATCAGAGATACTAGAGCCAAAGGAACATAGATCATCTAGTCCTGTGCTTTTCAAAGTTCTCAGCTCCAACGAAAATATGTGTAAGTCCCAATGAAACACTGAGGAAGGCAGAGTCACTTGGAAGAAGTAAATTAGGCAGCACCTAGAACCTCACTCCCCCGATTCACAGAACACCATTTGAAAACCTCTCATCTAGTCCAAACCCTCACTTTTCAGATGAGGAAACCAAGATGCAGAATAGGAGTGACTGTTTCAATGTGCACATTTGGCTTCCTAAATAGAAAGGATGATAGAGGGCTAAATAAAACAGCTTAAGAAATTCATTTAAAAAAAACACAAGGAAGTTTTCTATCTTAATTCTCTCAAAGTAGCTCCTTTATGAAAAGGAGCTTTGAAATTGATTTTGTTTAAGGCAGCCAGCCAGCCAGAGGCTGAAATGGACAACTACCCACTAGCCTGCAAGGCCCACAAAGGTCTATGGCAGAAAACCACACAGACCTATCAGTGGGCACTGGACCGTGGAAGATCCTGGCCCCAACAATGCAAGCACTAGAGGTTTCAAGAGAAATACTTGGAAAATTCAGAATGAGTCTAGACAAGTGTCCAGCTCCCAGATCCCCAAGGAGGAGTCACCACCTACTACTCAGAAATAGTAACAGAAGTGGGCATGTATGATCTTAAATGGAACAATGCAATCAAAATCACTAGTGTGAAAGTTCTCCGGAGGCATCCTCTCCAAGGAGGAAAGGCCCAGTTTGGTATTTTGACCACTGTTACTCACAGCAGACTTGAAACTAAACCGAAAAGTTAAAATTCATGTCCAGTGCTGGGCCTACTTGGTCAGGGCTGTGATCTCTTCCGATTTCATGGCATCAGACAGGAAGCTGAGCTCATTGCATAAGGTCTCATGTCGGAACGCCATCCGGATCTGAGCAACATTTGTCTTTCGAATATCATTTCCTTCAGGTCCTTCTTTATAATAATTTGGTCCCAAAAATTTTTGCTTTTCCTGTGGACCAAGAGAAGCACAAATGAAACAATACACCTTAGATTCGCTTTCTATGTCCTCATGGCAGCTCTGACGGAAGCCACACCAAATCAGACAAGTGCCCCTGAAGCAAGTCCTCCATCAGGACATCTTTCTCCACTGGCCTCCGTGTCCTCAAGGATGTCTCCCTGACAACCACATTCATTCACTTCATTTTTGACTCTGCCTCCCTTGATCAGAAAGGAAGAGTAGCTGGTGAGGAAGAAGGCAAGGTGACGACTCCAAGAAGTCCCTCCTGGGAGCTGACGGGCAGGCAGCCCGGTGTTTCTGGGCCAGTCCACGGAACCAGGGGCACAAATTGAATCTTGGGCCTTTAATTCCTTTGCATTGGCATCTCTAAGAGCAGCACCAATGCAGCCCTCTTCCTGTGCCAGTGACATCACCCAGAGCAGGTACTCTGGGACCTAAAACACCATCTAGAGCAATGGTTCTCAGCTCTGGCTGCACATCAGAATCATTGAGGAAGCTATAAAAAAAAATTACTGATATCTAAGTCCCATCCCTAGTTTTTTATTCAATCTAGGTACTATTTCCCTATTCAAAAAATATTGAGTGCCTACTAGGTGCCAGGGACTGTTCTAGGCCCTAGGGATAAAATGCTGAACAAAACAGTCCCTGCTCTAATGGAACTTACATTCCAGAAGGAAAGACAGAAAAACACATAAATACATATTATAATGTCAATAATAATAAATGTTGTAAAGAAAAGTAGATTAAAGGGATGGAGAATGATGCAAGTGCGTGGCTACGGCAGAGTGGGTGATCAGGGAAGGCCTCTGAGGAGGTGACGTTTGAGTAGAGGTCTGAAAACGGTAACAAAACAGCCATGAAAATTCAGGAGTCTCCTCCCTAGGATGCTCCCCTAGAACATGAGTGTCAGTGTGACAGAGACTCCGCTTGTCCTGTTCATCCCTGATCCCAGACCCTAGAACATGCCAGACGCACAGCAGGCACTCATTGTACATGTGCTGAAAGGACAGGAGGGACAGAGGGCAGTTTCCTCACACGCCGTACCTGATGTGAGAGGCCGCTCTGCAGCACACTGTTCCTGGCGATCTCACACAGGTCACACGTGCTTAGCTTCCACACCTGAGCTGCAATTGCATATTCTTCCATAAGTGCTTCCTAGATTCCCCGAAAAGTAAATGTATTAGAAGGGAGAGTATCCATTGCAATGCTTCACATATTGCCAAAGCTAGAAACATCAGACAGATGTTGCAGATTGAATGACTGGCACCTGGATAATCAAACAGCATCCTCCCCTTTAAATGATGAACTCCTAAGATCGTTTTTGTGTGAAACCTCGGTTACCCAGGAGAGACAGATCAAAGAACACCTACACATTTATTTGTTGACCAGCACATGTTCGAAGCCCTATGCCGGTCATGGGGATGCTGGCCTGCTCTCCTGTGACAGTCTCCTGAATCAGGCCTACTTTTAGCACCTGCTTGATAGTTTTGCTTTTTATTTAACAGACCATTTTCTTAAGATTGTCCAAAAGTAAAAGTTAGTCTGAATAAAGAGCAGAGATGGAACCTTAAATAAGAATGAGAAATGATTAAGTATCAGTACTGAGACAGTGTAATTGCCAAAGGATGAGTTTGAGCTATGCTTTCGCTTTGTCTTCTGGGATGTGAAATGTCTGACATTAATCACAAGCCCTTCCATTCCCTCTTTGCCACTCAATTACCTCTGTATCCTAGAGCAGCAGTTCCTAAAAGTGGTCCTAGGATCCCTGGGGAAGTCCCCAAGGCCTTTTAAAAGGTCCTCCCTTTTCCAACTATGTATCTTTCTGAGGCAAGGTTTTCTTCATACACTTTGATAAAAACAATTTATCACAACAGATTGAATGCAGATATGAGAATCCAGCAGCCATCTATTAAACCAGACATTAAAGAGATTTGCAAACATGTAAATGCCATTCTCAGTGGGAAATAGGGTTCTTTTTCATAAAAACTGCTGTTTATGTTAATATTTAATAGGTTTATTAAAGTTACTTTTAAATGAGTTAATACGTTTAAATTTCTCATTAGTTTCTATCACAGTAAACATCACTTAGCTATAACTCATGTAAACAACAGTTTTCTAAGGACCTCAATAAAGGGGTCCTGAGACCAAAAGCTTGGAGAACCTGTCCTAGAAGACTCTGGCACTTCTATTTTTACTAACCAGTGGCTATCTTATCAGGACCATCAAAATGTCCTTGGTACACTAATGGCTGGTCCCCATGCATGACAGCGCCATTCCCTTCCTCTTCCATTTCCCCAGAGAGCCAAAGAATAATAATAATAATAATAATGATAATAATAATAATAATAATAGTATTAACAAAAACAATGGCTAATATTTTGAATGCATGCTATATGCAGACACTAATTTTAGAGTCTTTGGCTCATTATCTTAATGAATCCTCACAATACAATCCTCATAAGACGTCGAGACAATTTTATCCCTATTTTACACATGAAGGGAAATAAGACACAGAGAGGTCAAGTCACTTTACTAACATCACAGAGCTAGTATATGTCAAAGAAAGGGAAAATAGAGAAAGGCAAAGAAATGAAATTGTGCCCTCAAGGATTCAAGGACCCCAAAAGTGGGCTTCTAAGAGGAACACTTCCCTCACCAGGAGCTTACCTCTTGTCTTCACCAGGCCACCAACACTACCCTGAAAGCAGCACTGAGCCATGTGCTCAGGTGCCTACAGTGGGAGGCCAGGCTAGGCCAGGCTGCTGGGGACCCTAAAGTCCTCACCTTCGTGTAGTGGAATTGCATGGGGTCATCGGTGGAGAGAGAAACATGCAGCCCCTTGTGCAGGAATTCCCTCAGAGGGTTTTTGGAATATTCAAGGAATAGGCTGTTGTTGCTAAGAGGAGACATGGCAATGGGGATCTGAGCAAGGTAGTAGAGATACTGCAACACCGGACTCTGCAAAAAAAACCAAGAAACTCAGGTGACAGTGCCAGAGAGGGGAGGGTAGAGAGGACCACGGGGGAGGGGATGTGGGGAAGACCATTATCAGAGGAAACCAGGGGTCTGGGCAGAGTCTGTGCAAGCTCCCATTCAAGCCTGAGTTCTCCAAAGCCAAGACACCCAGCCCCACCACCTCATTCCTACCTCCCATGCCCATCTCTCCCTGGGACTGCCCTCCTGCCCAGTGTTGGAAGTGCTCTCTCTGAACTCCAAACAGGAGGCACAGCTCAGGGCAGGAAGGACAGCTGCAAAGCCCTGGGCTTTGCAGCTCCCCTCCCCCAGGTGCTGACCCCAACAGATCAGTCCAGGAGATGCCCCACTTTTGTTGTTTTGTTGCTTTGACCACAAACATTCAGGTTGAGACTATAAACACTCCAGCTTCTCAGAGATGGGAAGGGGCAGACCTGACCAGGCTAGATTGGTTTTGTGATGTAGCACCTGCCCCACATGCAATGTGGCAGGTGGTTAGACCTCCCCAAGACCAGGGCAGGGGAGCAGTCTGAGCAAACATGGCTCCTATGGGAGTAATCCAAAGTAAGGAGAAGGCTGAATACACAGAGTTCATGGTAGCATTATTTACACCAACAAAAAGTTGGATGGAGTCTATCCAACAACTAGAGATGGGTTAAATCAATTATAGACCATCCAAATGGTAGGCCATTCTTCCAAAGCCTTTACAATGAGGAGCATAGATATTATGTTGCAGCACAGGAAAATGCTTGTTATACAAAGTTAAGGGACAAAGAGGGAACCAAAACTTTCTGTTCATTATGATAATAAGCATATTAGAAATATATTCTGGATAAAAGATGGGAATTGGAAATAGTAAAAAGTTAATAACGGCTGTTTTGATTAAAGCGATAGCAATAAGGTGTTTTTTTTTCATTTCTCCATTTTTCAGAAAATCCAAATTGTGATACATTTAACAGTATCACTTTCATAAGTAAATATGAAACCAAGATGACTACAGATAGACCAGCTCAGAAAAAGGCCCAAGCTTTTTAGCATGACTGGTCAGAGGCTCTCGGGGGCAGACAAGAGCCCAGGGGATCCTCCCCAGGGGAGGCCACAGCAGGACTGTCACTGAAGGGCAGGTGTCTGAGTGGCCCCATTACCTTCTTGAGGAGCAGCCCATGGGAAATGTTGTCGGCAGTCAGGAAAGCAGACACCAGGTGGGTGATGGAGCCAGCCTCCCCACAGTGAGGCCGGAACAGGAACGTGCTCAGGCCTCGTTCCCTGCAGGAGAGTGAGGCTCTTGGTCAGCAAGGACCCCAGGTCCACACTGCCTGGGACCCCACAGGCCTACGGCCTGCACCACAAGCTCAGGGCCTACTCCAGGGGAGACAGTCACCCATGGCAGGGTCAGCACAGCTGATGCAGGGCACCCTGGAAACTATCCCTCCCAAAGGGCAGAGACCCAGGCCCAAAGCTCCTCAGAGCCTAGAGACGCCATCATCTTTGGAGAACAGAGAAGAGGCCTAGTGGTAGACAGAGACCTTGTCCTGTTCTCCATCCACCTGTCCCCTTCACCTCTTCACCAGGCCTTTTAGCCCAGATTTACAGGCCTTCAGTGCAGGAAAAGCCATGAGAAGCTATTGAGTCCAACCTCTTTGTTATAAAAATGGGCAAAACCAGAAAGTGGAATCAGACATTAGAAGCCACCGGGCAAGTCAGTGGCAAAGCCAGGAATAGAGCCCCTTCTCTGAAAGGCAGCCCAGGACTGCCCCACCGCAACACCAGTCCCATTCCTAACCGCCACACCCACAAACTAGCACTGGCTTAGGCTGAGCTAGTGTGGCTTCATGACCCAGGAGAGGCAGGAGGGATGCCAGACTCGCAGGGAAGGGAGTAGGTGGCTCAGTGTCCTGCAGCCCTGGGCACCCGACTTCTGCCACGTGTGCCTCATCTGCATGTGTGCACTGGTGGGAGCCTGTGCCTATAAGACAACTGGAGATAAGCTCCTGAAGGCATCGACTTAGTCTGCTTTGCTCCCTGTGATACACATGCCCAGTGCCCAGGACGGTGCCTGTCACGCAGCAGGTACAATCATTTATTGCATGAATAATTGCATGTGTGAACACTGTTGGTGTGGCTGTAGGTGAACATGCCTGTGTGTTGGTACATCCTGTGTCTGTATCACATCAGGGATGGACAGGTATACATGTAGGTGTAAATATGTGAGTGTGCAAGCGCGGGGTCTGGCTTCGTGGTACGTATGCTCGTGTCTGTTGCAGTGGGCATGCCTGCCCATGTGAGGGCCCGCGGCCATGTGTGCGGGGCCAGCTCACCCACCTGCGGAGGTTGTTGAGCACCATGATGTTGGCGTACATATAGTACAGGTAGTAGCTGTAGGGCGGGTTCTGTTCACTGGTCCAGACGTCCGGGCACGGGCTCTTGTCCGAGAACATGTGTTCGCTGTGCTTGGACTCATCATCCACGCTGTCAAACCCTGTCACCTGGGCAGGAGGAGGGGTCCTGCATCAAGCCCGGGCAGATGAGCTGCCAGAGACCTTGGATGGAGTCCAGGCTTCTCAGGTTCATACCTCAGCTGGGGACCCAGTGGCCAGCCTGAGGTCACACTCCCCTCAGGGATGGAGAGTGGGCATATCTGTGCCTCCGGAGCTTTCAAATGTGCCCAGGGGGCCAGACTGGAGAGTGCAGTTACTACCCTGTGTGGTAGTGGCGACGGTGAGGGGACACTCAGGCCAAGTAAACAGTGAGGCAGCCAAAGCCACTGCCCATTCCTCTGCTGTACCAAGGGGGAGGCCAGCACTGCAGGGTAGCCAACAGCCACTGCCATCAGCCGCAGGGACAGTGGCTGTGAGGGCGAAGGGGACAGGCATCTCCCATCCACCAACTATATGTCAGGTCCTGTTTGAAGCACTTACCATATCAGCAGATTTAATACTCAGAACAACCCCGTAAGGGAGGGCCTGGCTGTGAGCAAACCAAGGCCAAAGCAATTAAGGAGCCTGCCTACATGAGACGACAAGGCTCTGGGTCTAAGCAGGCTCAGGGTCTGGACTCTGTGGCCATAAGTGGAGGATATGCTAGGGCACATCCCAGGTGTGGCCACTAAAAACCAGCCAAGGGGAGCCCCGTCTAAGAAGGCCCTTTGGAAGGCTGAGCCGCCATTTCTGGGAGGAAAGTGACTCTGCTCCCTGACTCTTTCCTGGGAACTGCCCTCTGAGCCAGGTCAGAGAAGCTAAGAGACTCCCATCTTTCCACTGCAGTTATACCTCAGCTGGGACCCAAACTATGCCCCTGGGGGCCCCACCCTAGTCACAGGCTTCCTAGTCGCCTGATCCCAGAGGTCAGGCCCTAGCTACAAATGTACCCATGAGGACACAGCTTCTTGGCCAGCATGTGGGGCAGTTTTGCTAACATGTCTCCCTTCTTTTACTCAGCTATAGCTATGCTTTGGGAAGGGGCCTCCGGAAGACAGCCCACCTTGCTCCACAACTGGCCCAAACTGGGGGGCTCCCAGCCCAGCCCCCAGCTGGGTCTGCCAGCCTCTCCCAAAGGAGCAAGGGACCACTGGGTCTTGGTGGAATCTTCCCTGTCACAGAGCCATATGCGCCAAAGGAATAACAGGGTCCCCCCTGTAGTTCTCAGCGTGGCCTGGACTGGTGTGGGAGGCTGGAAAGGACCTCAAGTTCTGCTCTGCACTCACTAGCTCCAGGATGCACGGGAACGCTCATGGCCTGGCATGTGGTAATGTCAGCCCCTCTACTGAGCTCTGTATCCAAGCAATGCAGGGCCTCGAACTGGACCTCCCTCAGGCCTCAGCACAAAATATGTCTAAACCCAACTCTTCCTCCTCCTCCTCCTCCTCCTCCTCCTCCTCCTCCTTCTCCTCCTCTTCCTCAAGGCTTCTTCCCCCACTATCAGCAGTGGCCCCTGAAAGCCACACTATGCACCCCCAAGACACCAGGTACCCAGAGGAGCCCTAGACTTTTCCCTCTCACTCACCTTCAGGTTTTGCCTAGGTCCTGTCAACCTGCACCCGTGCCCACCACTCTGCCCAGGTCCTGTCAGCCTACACCCGTGCCCACCACTCTGCCCAGGTCCTGTCAGCCTACACCCATGCCCACCACTCTGCCCNCTAGACTTTTCCCTGTCACTCACCTTCAGGTTTTGCCCAGGTCCTGTCAACCTGCACCAATACCCACCACTCTGCCCAGGTCCTGTCAGCCTGCACCCGTGCCCACCACTCTGCCCAGGTCCTGTCAGCCTGCACCCGTGCCCACCACTCTGCTCAGAGTCCCTGACCTGCCTCCTGCATACGCCATTCTTTTCTTTCTCTGGAGGCAGCGTGGTTCGGGGATAATGACTCCTGCTCGGGAGTCAAGCACCTGGATACGAATTCCAGCTCTGTCACTTTTTAGCTTTCAGATCTCTCAGTTTTAATCTCCTCATGTGTAAATTGGAGCTAGTAGCTTCATGGGGCTTTTGTAAGGATAAAATGAGACAATCCATGGAGAGCGCTTAACACAGGGTCTAACACACAGCAAGCACATAATACCGCTTATTACTACACCAAAAAGGGGGTGTAAAATGGTGTAAAGTAGGGCAATTGTGAGGCTGAAGTGGGACCATGTCATGGTGTGGAACACGGAGGCAGGCAGCAAACACTACATGTGAGCTGCTGCAGTGACTTCAAGGCCCCATCATCTGCCTTCTTCCTCCCACCTCCAGCCACCTTCTGTTACAGGCCATTCTCTACACAACAGCCAGGATGGTGTTTGTCTAAAACATAAAGCCAACAACGTCCCTCAGCTTGTTCAGAGCCTTTCCTGGTAGCCTCTCCCACCCCACCTCCACACACACACAAACTTAATCACCCTGTCGCTATGGCCCCAGCCCCCTGGAATCTTCCCTGCCTCCCTCCTTGTCAGAAATCATCCCTCTCTGCTCCACCAGATACTGAACCTACTTCTCACTGTCTCCAGCCACCTGTATTCCAGGCACCCAGAGGGAGGGGCCGGCTCCTGTCCCACTCATGCCCTTTCTGGTTCAGTCTCTCCATCTCTACTCTCCCACTCCCAACTGACCAGAGATAGAACATAAATATATTTTGTGGGGCTTGTGTACTTAACCAAACAAACAGTGAAGACCATAGTTTCTAGGTAAAAGCAGGAGGGTTGAAATGTCTGCATTTCTAAGAAGCCCAGAAGCTTCTGAAAGCCAGAGTATCCACCCCCAGTGTAGGGGGCAGGATCCAGGCTTTCCACTCTCTCACACACACACACACACACACACACACACACACAGGAACTCACTCGCAGTCCTTGCCCCATGCTGTGTGCTCAGCACCCCCACCCGCACCCCCTAGGGCTGCCCCTGAGGAGAAGGGGACTTCCGTCCTTGGGAGAAGGTGTTACTTTAGAAATTCAGCCTCTTGGGGCTGGCAACCCCATGCCTGTGGCACAGGGGTGACAGGATCTGAGAAGGGAAGCCTGGTCCCACCCACAGGCTCCTACCCTCTGGACCACTGCACACACGGACTGAGGCACCACCTACACTTACGTATTTGAGGAAGAGGTGAAGCTCTCGGTGATCTTGGGGGTTGATTGTGGCCTCAAAAAGGGGCAGAAAGATGTTCTCCAGCATCTTCCCAAAGTTTGGCAGTAGCTTCTTTGACCTAAATATGTCACTGAGGAAAGCAAAGACTCCATGGTTAAGGTGGACCCACCGGCTCCCTTGGTCTATCAAAGACCAACCTCAGTCACTTTCTCAGGCAGCTCGTGGCCCCATTTAAACACCCAGAGTAGAGTCAGAGATGTGGCTTGAACACAGATCCTTCCCTTCCTCTTCACCTCCCAGCAAGTTCTGAAATACTAGGCACTGGTTTGCAAACTCAACACCTACCCAAGCCCATCGGAGGGCTCTCTCCAGCCAGGGGCCATGCTAGGAGAAGGGTGGAGGGATTCAGGCTGACCAAGGGTCTGAGAGATGAGTCCTCCTGCTTCCCAGTGATCCAAACTCTCTGCCACTCAGTTCAGTTCCCCGAAACCACAGGCCCCTGCCTGTTCAAGGACCATGAGCCCCACATCAGTCAGACCAGTGGAAAGGCCAGTGGTGGTCTGAGCCATATCCAGGGAGAGAGCCAGCAATGTAGGCCACCACCAGGTCACTCATACTCAGCCGCTCACCCAAAAGGACATCTACATCCTGAAGCGAGAAGATGGGCAGTAGTTCCCACCAGGCCTTAACACACATATGTTCTTCAAAAAGTAGGAGTTTGTCACAGACATCTCTGCTGACCATCCCTCCCTATGGGAAAAGCCCTGGGGAGAGGAGGCCTGAACTGGCACTGGAACAGATCCCACCCTCCATCGTGCAGACTCAGCAGCCCGTGCGGGACAGGTTGCAGCCCAAGGGGGCACTGACAGACAGCAGGCCGCCTCACTTACTAGATCCGGGGCACCTGGATGATCCAACGCATGTTGGGTGAGTAGACCTTGTGCTGGATGAACCAGCGGGCCAGGCTGGGCCACTCGTCAGGGCTGCGGCCGTAGATGGAGAGCCGTGGCTCTGAGTACTGGTACTTGCTGTCCTCCAGCTCCTGGGCCACCTCCTGGCACCAAGAAGAGCTCAGATCAGGCCAAGAGCACCCCCGCTGCTGGACCCTGCAGTGCTCTCAGCCATCTGCTTCCGGGCTGGGGAGACCTGATCTGCATCCCCTTGCTACAGAGGAAGCACTTGCTCTGTCTCAGCGGAGGCTCCTTCTTAGAGAGAAAGGCCTTGGGTCTGCACCGTCACAGGCATAACCAGGCCAGGCAGCAGACATGGCTCCACGTGGAGCTAAGCTGCTCCCAGCCAAGTTCAGGCTGCAAACACACAGGACAGCAAGCCTGGACGCTGTGAGTGCTCCCAAGGTGGATACCCGCCCCCTCCGCTTGTTTGCAGTTGGCACAGTGGGCACACACAGCACCAGCTTGCCCGTGCTCAGGATCTGGCGGCCAGCGCCAGGGCACTGAGCACCTGAGCATCTCAGCCTTGCCAGAGCTGGATGGTGGATGGACAGGGGTTTGGAAAGGGGAAGAAGACAACGAGGCCATGCGCGGCCCCCATCCTCTGAAGACGGATGCTGTCAGGTATCTGCGGAGGGCTTGGAGAGGCTGAGGGCTCACTCACCTTAACCATCCGAGCAAAGTACTCTCCTCCCAGGTAGTTTTCAGTTTTCAAATACAGGTCACGCAGCTCACTGGCCCCCACAGGGTTGTACTTGGAGTTGAACTTGTCAAAGCGATGGAATGTCTGCCGGCCCTGGAGAAAGGAGGTCACCAGCCAAATCACCACATCACTCTGCAGCCACCACACACATTCCCCTCTCCAAACCTTATGTGTGGCCATACGGAAAGGCGCCTTCTATGTCAGTTCTTGCATGAAATCTTAGAAAGTGCTGGGGCCAGGGCTATGAACCCTCACTTGGTCAGCCCTGGGGTCCTTCTGTGAGGCCCTCTGTTAAGAGGGACCAGGGGGCCTCATGCTCTAAGCGACCATAGCTAGGAACATGTCTGGCTGAGTAAGCTGAGAATACCAAACTATTCAATAGTCAATAAGAAAACGTGTCCTATTAAAGCTTAGATTTTGTGAGGCACTTTCTCTGCCTTATCTCATTCAATGTTTTGTTTGTTTGTGTAACACAGATTTTTTAATTGTGGTAAAATATACATAACACAAAATCTACCATCTTAACCATTTTTAAGGGTGTAGTTCAGTAGTAATAAATACATTCACATTGCTGTGCAACCATCACCACCATCCATCTCCAGAACTCTTTTCATTTTGTTAAGCTGAAACTCTGTACCCACTAAACAATAACTCCCCATTCTCCACTTCCCCCCAGCCCCTGGTAACTTCTATTCTCCTTTCTGTCTGTATGAATTTGTTTATTCTACATACCTCATACAAGTGAAATCACATACTATTTGTCCTTTTTTATCTGGTTTCTTTGACTTAGCAAAAATTTTTCAAGGTTCGTTCATGTTGTGGCAGGTACCAGTGCTTTATACCTTTTTAGGGCTGAAAAATATCCCATTATATGGTTTTACCACATCTTGTTTTTTCATTCACCTGTTGATGGGCACTTGGGTTGCTTCCATCTTTTGGCCATTGTGGATAATGCCGCTATAAGCATTGATGTGCAAGTATCTGTCTTAGTCTCTGTTTTCATTAGTTCTTTGAGATACATACCTGGGAGTGGAATTGCTAGAATATGCAGTAATTCTATATTTAACTTTTTGAGGAAACTCCATACTGTTTTTCATAGTAGCTGCACCATCATTTAGTATTCTAATAACTTTGTAATGTCAATAGGCCCATGGCATTCAACACTTTATAAGCAAGGAAATAAAACCATGTGTCGTTTAAAGGCACATAACTCTTAAGTGACAGAAGTGGAATTAGAACTGGGACATGCCTGACTCCAAGTTGTACGCTCTTTTCCCCTGTCCCATGGCTTCTCCAAGCCCTGTTATTCTCTAAGGCCAAATTACCTCTCACAGTTTCCATGGCTGGAAGAGAAGGAACTGCTTCCACAGCCAGCCTCTCTCCTAGCACAATCATGGCTGCTTTCCAGGGGACTGAGTCCCTAACCAGGACTGCTCGGGACACGGAGCAGCAGCTCACTCACCGCATGGACATCCAGCGAGTCCACAGTGAGGTCATAGGGGTCCATGTGCAGGCTGTCGAACACCTGCCGCAGGGTAATCTTCCGGCCCTGCTTCTCGGTCACAATTCTGTCGGGCTCCGTCTGGTACGTGTGCTTGATGAAGCGCAGCAAGTGCTTCTGGTTCATGCAGGCAGCCGCGTGGATGTGCGTGTCCACCTACAACACAGCACCCGCCAACCCGTGAGCCAGGCCACCTCCCCTGGCAGCAGGGGTTAGGGAGCCCAGCCCTCAGCATGGAGCACAGAGCCTCAGCACCTTTGGGGCCACGGAGGCAGCCCCTCCCAACACCTGGATGCCCCCTCCCCGTTTCTCCTCTAGACTTCAGAACTGGTCTCCCTCCCTCTAGCCTTGCTGCCCAATCTACCCCCTTTCCAACATAAAGAGCTCTTTTTAAAATGTAGATTGGATCTGGCCACGCTCCTGTTAACAAAACATCAATGGCCCCCATGTCTTCAAGATAAAGCCCAAGCTCCTTAGCTGAGCTTCAAGGCTTCCTCAAGCTTTAACTCTCACCTGCCACTGTCCTGCCCTCTGCTCCAGCCATGACATACCACTTCCAGATACCCGCGTCACCATGCAATTCTGCACCACGTAACTTTGCCCCTGCATTTCCTCAGCCTGGCATTCCTTCCTTCCTCCTCACCACTCCCACCCACCTGGACATTTCCGACAACCTCCTGCAGTTGAAAGCCAGGCTTGATTGCACAAGCACAGCTGATGAGTCTTTCCCTTAACACAGCCTGAGAACCTAGCACAGACTCCCCCTGTGCTGTATATGTCCTCCTGATCTACTCTAATATTTGTCTGACTACTCCTTCACTAGACTGGGAGCTCCTCAAGCCGAGAGAGCATGTCTGATGCATGTAAGTCTCCAGCACCTTCTCCAGATCCTGGTATGATATATTAGTTAAATCAATGGATGGATGAATGAACAAATGAACAGGTGTAGTAGGTTCCCATAGTTTTGATGATATCCACATCCTCATATTTCCCTAAGACCCACCAAAAAGCCCCACAAAATCCCACTCTACCCATTGACCTCTTTTGGAACCCCCAAAGCCTTCCCTTCAGCAACCAGCCCCAAAGAAACAGTGCCCTGGCTAAGCCGAGCATGGTCTATGGTCACAGTGGGCCTCCTGACTCCCCTTCCAAGAGCCCAAGGGGCCTAAGGGAGGTTTCCAGGGAGGGTGGCAGCAGCCTCACAGGCCAGGGAGTTGCCAGCCTCCACACTGCACACTTGCCGTTACTGCTGTGGCTGACAGGGCACTCTGCCAGGGCTGGGGTAAAGGAGGCAGCTGACCTCGGGCCCACGAATGCTATCTACAGCAGGCCAGGCATCTCCAAGTAATGCTGACATTTGATCTATTGAACTTCTTTGCGTATGATACCAGCCAGCCTGTGTCATTGGCCACATCACTCACTCTTCAAGGCCCTTCCTGCCGTTAATCCTGCCACTCCTACCGGGAGAACAGATCACTAGACATCAGAGAAATGAAACCATTCAAAGCACCAAAAGCACAGTGTAAAAACACAGGCACCTCAGATGGACATTGCTCATGTGGATGGATGCACAAGAGAACGTCAGCCTGGCTTAGCGTGGCCTTACACAGCTGGGCTCAACCACCTCAGAGTGACTCAGCACATTCTGGGATTTCTGTTTGTGTTTCCAGTTTACCAGTGACACCCTGCAGAGGGCACAACCTTACTCCCCTGAGTCCAAGATGAGGAAGGAAAACAACTGAATAATCCAGGAAGCATACAAACTTCAGAATCTCCAAGATGGTTATTTTTGGAACAAGTAAAAGATGTCACTGGATGTCAGTGTTTTTAATTCACCAGAGGACCCTTCTTTCATCTAAGATCCAGGTCTAAAGAAACAGTAGAGTTTCCAAACAGTAAACTGGCCAATAGCTGGCCCCTAAGTCAACACTGACCATTTCTATACCCAGGCAGACATCAATAATCACTTACAGCACTCTTTTCACTAAGCTTTAAGAGAAGCCTGAGGCAGCCATACCCAACTGGTCAAGTTTGGCACAGAAGACGAAACCTATTTGCTATCCCTGATATTACATTTAAACCAAAATGGGTAAGGCCTAATCCTCCCCAAGTAGCAAGCATACTCAGCCCCTCCTTCTTAGCTCTGAGCAGAAAATAATTGTTTCAGTGACACAGTTCTGCTGGTTGGGCCTTATGACATCGTAGCCCATGACCTGTTGCAATGTTGCAGGTACTTTCACAAATACTACCCACTTCATAGCCATGCGCAGCTCCTACCTCAGAGCATGGCCGTAGCCTACCCCACAATACTGACGGCCGCCTCGAGCATATGGAGGCCATACCAGGAATATGGAGGCCACCCTCCCTGCCCATCCTGGGTTTCAGAAAGCCAGCTCTCCTCCCACAGCAGGTGCTTCCAGGGTAAGATAAAATAGTCAGCCCCCAGGAGGCAGGAAGGGACAGGCACAGGCCTGACTGTGGTGACAGAAAACAGGCCACTGTGTCACAGCACAGCCATCTCTGTCCAGATAGCACATTAACCCCACAATGACAGGGAACTCCAAGGATGGGCTCTGGTATATAACACAGCCCCCCACCAGGACTCTCTCCCACATGGTGGCCAGAGAGCAGCTGGTTGGCCCAGGAACACCCACTGGGGCCCCACTTCAGTAGCAAACAATGTCGGGACCAGTGCAGTCAGCAAGGACACCTTGGTCCCAAGCAGCAGGAAGCAGTCAGGCCCAGAGCATTTGCATACTCATATATGGAGGGCAGGGCTGCACTGGGTTGGGCAAGGAGTTTCCTTGGACACCCATCTGGGCCTGTGCTGGACATGTAGGGTGCATTTGGACAGGGCTGAGAGGAGCTGACATAGAGACTGAGGCATCCACCTGTCTAAACACCTAAGGTTCACAGAGAAGGAACAAATGGTGCTTGAAGGTGAAAGTGTCAGGTAGGTGGTATCTAACCTACATCCTTTCACCTCTGCCTGGAAGTCCCCAAGACACTTCATAAGCCCCATACTCTCACTTCTTAAGGATCCCATCCAAGTGGGAATCTATGCCAGGCCCCATGATGCTTAACAAACATGATCTTGGGGCCTCCCCAGAGGGGACCTTCCATCTACCATTGCTGAGTGCCCCCAGCCTGAGCTGGGCTTTCCCAGAGGAGCCACTCCTCCCAGGGTCCACCCTCCCCTATCAAAGCAGACCCCAAAAAGGGGCAATCTTCCAGAGGTCCCATCTGGGATGGAGGCCCCTATGAAGATGACAACCCCACTGTGACTCAGGTGTGGCCATTCCTCCTCCAGGCAAAGCCAGCCTAATCTACACCCTTCCCCCATGAGCTTCTCTCCTAGCTCATCACCATACCCCAGTGGCTCCCTGCTTCCTCTGAGAAACTCATGGGCCCCTGCATGATCCAGAATCCCACCACTCCCCTCTCTCCCTACACCTGAGCTCCAGCCACACTGCACTATTGGCAGTTATGTCAACGCACTACTCACAGTCTCTCTCCTCTCCCATACCACTCTCTCCCTCCTGGTGTTTGCATATGCTGTTCCTTCTGCCTGAAATGCCATCACTTCCATTCCATTACCTCACCCTCTTCCTGGCTAACTCCTACTCTTTAAGTCAGCTCAGTTCTGGCCTCCTCATAAAAGCCATTCCTGTCACAACATTTATCACACTAATTGTAATAGGCTGGGAACTTCTTATAGACAGGAAGTGACCTTGTCCAACATCAAATGCCTCATGTTTAGCACTGATCCCTTGCCTCACTGTACATTAGATAAATGGAAGAAAATGGAAAAGCGGGAAGCTGTGATCATTTGCCACCTAAGCTCAGGTCAAGCCAGCTCATCCACTCTAGGGAGAGGCAGAGAGGAAATACATACATACTTCTCTTTAAACACACCTGCTCCCAAAGGAAGCAAAATCACAAACTCAGAAGTCCAAAGAGGTCTTAAGAGCTTTTTCTCTCCATTATTAATTTAATATATCCTCTACCTTAAAAGTTACCTGGCCTCAACTCATGACCAGTTAACAGGTCATGCCCTGTTTTCCAAGGAAGAGGGCACATTGCAATAGACATACAATATGGGTACCAAGTCCCATCTGAGGTACGGCCTGATGCACGGAAGGCAACATGCCTTCTGCGCGTACACATCACACTGCTCTGGCCAAGGAAGGCCACACAGGGGACTAGCCCCAGATAGCTCAGGACATCTCAGTAGGTTGGGAGGGGGACCGGGAGGGGTGGCTCTGAACACTGGCCCGCTAACGCACCTTTCTCACATTATAGAAGTCTCGGTGGGGGTTACTCTTCAACTCTTTGAACTCGGACATTTCATTTAACATCTCATGAAGGCTGAACTTGGATTCCAGAAAGTTCAGTCGCCGGTGACAATATGTTTTCCTGCAGGTTGGGAAGGGGGAGAAACCATAGTTGAGGAGAAGTGTCATCAAGCTCTCCAGGTTAGAGAACTCCAGTGTCTGCGGGGACCGACCCTTGGGTGGGAGGTCAGGATGGAGAAGGAGATTCCAGCTTTCTACAGACACAGCTAAACTGTGTAAGCACATCCTGTGCTCTATGAAATGAGTGGGCAGTTGATTTATGGCAGTGGAGCTGACTTTGCAACCTCATACATGTTCTCTGACTTCTAGCTCTATGTGCTTAGGCAATTTGATCTCAAGCCTCTGTTTCCCATGAATAAATATAGAGCTGGCAATGCCCAAGACTGACAGACAGTTAACTGGTTTATGCATGTGAAGGGCCTACCTCTGAGCAGTGCAAGCACTCACTAAAAGTCTCCCTCCTTCATCCTTTCCTTTTCCTTTCCTCCCATCTATCCTCAGCCACCTTGAATTCTTTGAAAGGAGTTTGACTTCTGCCCAGGGGATCAGTAATAGAGTCAAACTATCAGAAGTGACCTGCCCACCTTGGTGTGCAGAGTAATCACCCTCTGACCAAATGGGCTCCCCCACACCCCAAGACCCGAGGACATCTCAACTCTGAGGTTTGCACTGTGGGCAGGTGGAATGTAGTAACAAACATCTCAGAGGAAAGTAGAGATGTTTGTCACTAGGACAGAAATCTCTGCTAGGACTAATGCCCCTACCAGCTGGCAAAAGCCATTGGGGGTAGAAGGTGCTTACTGCACAAGGCCAACTGCCAGCCCACACCTAGCCCGGATGCCCTGCCACATGCCTGTACCTACAGCCACACAGAACCTTTAACCACAGTTCATCCCACCTGCTTCCTTGTGTCCCCCACACGAACAGCACCCCTGGCATCCAATCACTCAGACTTTCATAAAGAATGGCTGCCTCCCCTGGAACAGCACCATCATCTGTCTGCCAAGATGAGCCCCAAGGTAGACACAGGAGTGTCTCGGAATCAAAAGGGATTTCAAAAGTCATCTCGCCCAGTCCCTCTCCCCAGCAGGACTCACCTTAACAACCTCCCAGACAGGACAACCACTGAGCCCTTTCCCTCTCTGCCAAGGCCTCCCCTCCAACCTCCTCACATTGGCTGAGGTGAGCCTCCCAGGAACTGCCTCGCCCCCTCCCAGGTCTTATCTCTGCCCTCATGTCAGTGAGGACCAAGAGCCACGTGCCCATCCCCCTTGGGCCCACTCTCCCTTGGAGACTATGCTCACATGCATTCCCAGTAGAACCCAAAAGGCAGGACAAAAGAGAAGTTCCCTAGTGGTGACCAGCACAGTCTCCCTTCCTTAGACTTCTAGTTCCGCCTGGACACACCTAGCCCGGCACAGCCACTTAGAGGCTCAGGGTCCAAGCATGCTGAGTGAGCTTCCATTACTGATTAGCTCAAGTGCTCACCAAGAAATGAGGGGCCAAAGGAAGGGATTAAGAAGTACAAATTGGCCATTACAAAATAGTCATGGGGATGTAAAGTACAGCATAGGGAATATAGTCAATAATATTGTAATAACTATGCATGATATCAGGTGGGTACTAGGTTTATCAGGACCATCACTTCGTAAGTTATATAAATGTCTAATCACTATGTTGTACACCTGAAACTAATATAATATTGTATTGTATGTCAACTGTAATTGAAAAATAAAAATTATTTTTTCAAAAGTGAGGGGCCAAATTCAGGAAGACAGCTACATGCCAGGTAAGCACAAGCCAAGCCCACAAGCATCATGGGGGTGGTGGCACGAAGTTCCCAGGCTCCCTGCACTGTCCCCTCCAGAAACACAGAAAGCCCAACACCTGAAGCAACAGTCTTCATCACTTCTCCACCATCTTAGAGGAATGTCCTAGGCCAGTAACTCTGCAAGGCTGCCATCTTGCCTGGGGAGAGGGCTGGGGGCCATCACCTATGCATGCAGAAGGGACAGGTAGCACCAACTCTAAGAATATGCCAGCCTATGATGGAAAATTGTTCCAGAAGCCCACAAAGACTGGGTACAGGGGAAACCACTCTCTTTCTGGGCTGGTTTAAGTGCAGGAAAGCCCAGAGTTAGCCTTTCTTAGCCTGTTCATACAGAATAGCACTCATGCAAGCAGAGGCAGATGGAGACAGCTGGCTTACGTGGGACCATCAGTGATAAGAGCCAGGATGTGGCTCATGTCCATCGTGTATGTCTCCAGGTCAGGGTAGGGCAAGCTGTGGGGCTCCTGGCACTTCAGCGTCTTCTGGTTATCATACACAAAGAGGATGCCGCCCTGCATGCGGACCAGGTAGCCCAAGTTGGGGGGAGCATCATCCAGGCAGTAAGGGTCTTCTTTGGGCAGTGGGGGAGGGTGGAAGTCTGCAAAACAAGATTGGGTGATGGCAAAATGCCCTTGACCTCATGAGCTCATGTGGGCTGAGAAGTCACATTCTAGGTGAGGCCTGTCCTGGTCATCCTATATAAAACCCAACTGCCCTCCAACAACCCCACACACCCCAGAATCTCATATTCCCTTTCCTGCTCTATTTTGTCTCCTTAGTACTTACCACTGTGCAAACATAATTTCACTTAGTTATCTTGGGTAGTATATGTTTGTTTTGTGCACTGCTATATCCTCATTTCCTAGAACAGTCCCTGGCACATAGCTGGCACTTCGATATATTTTTTTTAATTTAACTGAAATGAGCTGAAGCCTCCTGGGCACTTCAGGGATGCCAGGCATATTCTCCTAATAAGAGAACAGACAGCACCTGTGATGGCCCAGTGGGAATATCTGTCCCTGTCCTCCCACATCTTCCTGAGCCCAAGGCGACAAAGAGGCTAGATGAAGAAGCACCCCGCCTGCCCAGATGAGCACAGAATAGGGAGCTTGTCTCCCACAGAGCAGGGAATGCCAACGGCAGAGCTGTCTGTCCCCACCCCTATGGGTTGAGTTAGCTCACAGGAGGCAGAAAACTACTCTTGGCTATTTCCGAGCTATGAGACATTGAACAAACCACTTTACCTCTCTGATCCTGTCTGCTCATCTGAGGATAAAACCCTCCTGCCTTAACAGGCTGTTGTGAGGGCTGCAATAGTGGATATAGGAAAGTGTTTTGTAGACAGTAATGCCCAACACACAAATTATAGGACATTATTCTCATTACTCTCATAATGAGTTTTCCTGACCATTGATAAGCTCTGTCTCTGGCCAAGGAACAGGTAATTCTAAATAGCAGTAGAACTGGGGGCTTCAGCTCTGCACATCAGCCAACCCCACATAGCAGCCAGGTGCCCAGCTGCTAGCCCAGGAAGGAGTAAAACCTGGAATCTTCATCAAAGGAAGCAACCAAGGCGGGGTGGCCTGCCTGGGTGTCCCCCATCAGTGCTTGGAACAGCCTGCTCCTGGAGTGGATGTGACTGTCACAGAGGCTAAAGCAGCACAGATCTGGGAAGTGATGTCCTCCCATCAGGCACAGCCACAAGCCAGCTCAGAAGGCCCTAAAACATGCCAGTGGCCTGTAAGGTGCAGGTGATACAAAGGCCTGGGTGACGTAACAGCCTCCACCCTCACGTTCATGCCTAGGACCTCGGGGCACTCTGTTTCGATAAATACATATTGGACAGTCACCCCTGTCTGCCCTTGCCAAAACTGGGGCAGGCGGGATCAACTTCCCTCAGACAGACAGGGAAATGGGCCCAGAAGGGCTAAGATTTACGCAGAGCCCCACGTTGTAACAGATGCTCAAAGTCCAGGTCTCAGGGCTTCAAGGAAGCCAGAGATGGGAGACATCTTGGCACTAACTACACCCCAGGGGCAGCTAGAGTCCTGAGCGCTGGCACAGACCAGCAGGCCCTAATGTGATCCCCCACCACCAACTTTCAATATCGAGGTTTCCTGTTGTCTTCATGATTACTCACAGCCCTTACTGCTCCTGGGTACTTCACAGAAACCACCCTGCCCTCCTAATCTCCCTTCCCCAAACGCCACAGCATACATGTTGCTACCATTTAATGAACACTCACTACATGCCAGAACTACACTAAGTACTTCACATGCATTCTCTCATTTAATCCTCACAACAGGTCCAGGATCAGTATTATTCCCATTTTATAGACTGAGAAACTGAGGTCTGGAGAAATACCTTGCCCAAAAAAGTGGCAGAGCTTAGATCAGACACAGGTGGGTTTGACTCTAAAGCCTACTTCCCCTGCCCAGACCATGCCTCCTGTACCTACTCCCACGCCACCCCGCCATCAATTCGCCATTTATTGCCTGATCATATTGTTTTAAACATCCTGTGTGACACTGCCTTTCATCTTTCTCTTAACTCCCACAGCTCAGCTTTGCCCAGGGCCAGGCACCCAGTGCACGTAGAACCAATCTTGGGGAAGCCAGCAACCTCAGTGTAGGAGAAGCCGATACCAGGGCCCTGCCCTTAAAACACCATTCAAGAGAAATACATCCCTCCAGTAAAAAGTCCTGGCCAACTCTAGGTCTGTGTCCCACTTGAGACCCCACCTGTAGCCACAGCGCCGTACCTGGGCGCCCCTCTTCCGGAAGTGCCGTGTCTGCCCACTGACAACCCAGGTACTGGGCCGTGGTCCGTGGGAAGTGGTGATAGGCGAGCCGGGCATACTTCTCCCGGATCATCAGGGCCTTGGCCAGGCTCTTGGCTGCCTGCTCATAGTCTTCCACAGTGATCTGCAGAAGGGGGAGTGCAGAAGAGAGTTCACATAGCAGGCCTGAGACTACTGTCCCAAACGAGACCTGCTGAAGGGCTGGCCCTCAGCTGGCAGCTGGGAACTTGGGTTTAGGAAGCATTCCCACCACTCCCTAACTATTATCAAAGAGTGGTTCGCCATGCCCAAACTGTCGGTACAAACTCTCTGGTTTATGCTGAACACCAATTTCCTCCTGGGAGTCTGGAATGTGGGGATGTGCTATGCAGGTATGTGGCCAGTCTCAATAAAAACCTTGAGCGCTAAGTCTCTAAATGAGCTTTGGTGATAGATGACACTTCACACGTGTTGTCACAATCTGATGCTGAGGAATTCATTGTGTTGTGGTGCTGGGAGAGGGATTTCTCCAGACTCTGCCCCAAGGGACCTTTTCCCTGGGCTGACTTTGCTTTGCATCCTTTCACTGTAATAAATCCTAGTCAGAGCACAGCTATGTGATGAGTCCCAGGTGTCCTCCTAGAAAATCACTGAAGCGCGGGGGTGGTCTCGGGGACCCCTGGCTCAGGAGAAGAGTTAGGGCTGCTGTAAGAGAGGCAGGTACTCTGGCCTGCACACCCCAAGGCCAGCCTCCAGTGCTGCTGATTAAACCACAGCCCTGCTGTTGCATCCAGCACATGAAGCGGCAAAGCCTGTGCCATAGCCCTGATGAGAGTATCACCATTTTCAATTGAGAAAATATGTGGGTCCCTCGGAGGTAAAAATAAAAACTTCTGTGTGCTCCATTTGCTGCTTTGCCAACCTTGGGTTTCTGATTCATCTGGCAATCACCCCAATTCACCCAGCCACCAGCACTTACTAACATGTGTCATGTGCCACACCCCTTCTGTAGATTTTATTTGGTCCTCAATGCAATCCATTTTACAAATCAGGGAACTGAGACCCAGAGAGGAGAAACCACGCATCAGGAAGTTACAAAGCCACACTTCAGACTCTGATTTGATTGATCCCCAAAGCCCAAGGATGGTCTGCTTTCCCAAGGTTGCCTCGTATTCAGAGATGAATAAGATAAATCCCCACCTTCCAGGGGGCTCATTAATCTTAGTCTGTTTGGGAAGGATGTGTGTGGCAGAAATCTGAATGTACTTGGGGTGACAAGCAGCTAAACAGACAGTCATCACAGCAGATGTGTGATACAGCAGAGAGGGATACAAGATGTGGTTGGACAGCAGAGTAGGAGGGCGGGGGCCTGGAAGTGTCCTCCTCTGCTTTAATTAAAAAATCGTTTTCAGTTTTGAAATATTTTAAACATGCCAACAAGCACGGCAGATAATACGATAGACATCCATGTACCTACCTTCCAGAGCTAACAATTTTAATATTTCTCATCATTGTTTCAGATCTCTTATATGTTTGGAAAAATGAATCACCACAGCTACAGCTAAAATTCTACCCTTCTCCTTCCCCAACTCCACTCCGTCCTCAGAGGAAGGAAGTTGGCATCTGTCTGTCCTATGCATGTTTTTATACTTTTACTAAATATTACTCCTTGCTTTTCGTTAAGGAAGTAGCTTCTTCTTTCCTGACTCCAAGCGTCCCCAAGTGGGTGTGTTAAATCTATTTTACCCCTTCCAGTGGATGGCTTTTGAGAACAGTTGGAACAGGTGAGCAGATACAAACACCTTAGGCAAAAATATCCCCCTGCCAACGACAAAGCCAAACACTTTGTCTGCAGAACTGATGGACTCAGCTTGGCCAGGGGCTCAGGCCATGGCTGAAGATATCTGAGAGGGTGCTCAAGGATCCCAGTGGACCAGCAGCCACCGACTTGTAGGCACAGCAGGCCTCATGCCTGTCAGCAGACCCACTGGGGGCCAAGACGTTCCGCAAGTTCAGCCTGCCTGTCATGAACTTGTAGCTCTCTGGGGACGGACTGCCTGCCCAGCTCAGGGGCTCCATGCCTTATGATGTGCCAGCCAGGAGACTGGCTGAAAGAAGCTAGTTAATGTACCAGGTGAATGTTCTCCCATTCAGCTAACTGTCAGACCACATCGACTCTCCCTTGTCACTTCTCAGCCCACATGCCACAGGCTGGGTGGACACCAAGGACTCCTGCTCAGGACAGTGCTTCTTCAGATAAGGCCTGCGTTGTTTCCAATCCAACCAAAATTCCTATCCATAGAAACTTAAAAAAAATATTGTACAACCACACAGTGGAATACTAAGCATTTGTAAAAAGAAACAAGGAAATTCTTTATCTATTGATATGGCATTATCTTCAAGATAAAGTGAGAAAATGCTAGGTTCAGTAGCGTAATATGTATAGTAAACTACCATTTGTGAAAAAATAATTAAAATGTGTAGATAATTAATGTAGGTACATAGGCCATCTATGTGAAAACACACAAGAAACCCAAGTCAAGGGCTGCTAAGGAGGAGAACTGAGTGGCTAGGTCACTAATATAATTTTTGTACCTTTTAAATTTCATACCATATGCAGGATATTCTATTCTAAAAAAAAAAAATTAAGCTAGGGAAAAATTTGTAAGAGTAGTAAGCCGCATTGCTTTCTCAGCTATACTATATATTCTAAAGCTACAGTTAAAAAAAAGAAAGAAGAAGAGAATTATAAAGCCAACTGAGGCACAATAGATTGAGGGCCAGGGAGATAGGACCAAACTTAACCCTAGCACTACCTTAGTGATATTTCTTTTCACGAAGTAAACAATAAAATGCATCATCCAACCAGGTGAAATTAGCACATTTTCAGTGACTGAGTTAACTGACTTGGTATGGAAACCTGCTTGATCACTTTCTCATCAAGAACCTGTCTTCCTGATTGCAGGGAGAGCCTATCTTTAAGGATACTAAGCCTAAGCATGTGGGAAGGGCAGAATCAGCAAACCAGTCAACACCAGGACTTTGAATCCTTTCAACATTTGGGAACACTATAGGGCCCAAGCTGGCACCTTCCTCAGTGGGCTACGGGGACAGAGAACATATGGAACTGACAAGCCATGGCCATGGTATGCCAGCCCACAGCCCCAGGCCCTCCTCACAGAGATGGAGAACACCCAAGACACACCCATACCCCACAACCTCAACTAGGACCTTCCTCCTTTCCAGACTCCTGCACCTCCTGTCCACTGCCTCCCAGACACCCACAGACCAGGCCAGGCTTCAGGGCTGGGCATGACCCCCATGGCCCAAGAGGCCCCAGCCTCTGAATAAGGCACAAATAACCCTCACACGAACCCTGGGGGAGCCCACGGAGAGCGGGGCGTGGGAGACACCTTACCCCAGCACAGTAATCTCCACTGATGGTGACCCGCTGGAACTCGGGCATGGCATAGGGCGCTGGCGTGGGCTGGGAAGTGACTCCAGGGAGCACAGGGGCTGCGGGAGGCATGACCGGACTGGCTGGGGGACCCTTCCAATCTTGCTGTGTTGGCATTTGCAGAGACAAGGACTGGGACCGAATCATCTTGAAACTTTTCTTTCTAAAATCCAAGGACAAGGAAAAGGGGGAGACATCAGTAGCTAATTAGGGTGAGTGATAAGGAGTCCTGTTCTGCATGTGGCAGGAGCATTTTGCTCTGATTCATCACTGGTGCTGGCCCTACCATTCAGAAAATCTAATTACTTATGCCTTCCTCTTACACACGTCTCTTTGCATGAGATATGAAGCAGCCCTCCAGACACCCCTCCCTGAGGTCACTAAGAATGGCCATGGGCTGCTGTGCACTGCACTCAGAGCATTAGAGTAGGCAGTGTCTCAGGGGACAGAGGGCAGACCACCCTGCAGGGGTCTAATACCAAGGACAGGAAACATGAAGATCTTCAGATAACCCAAACTTTAAGTCCCAGCAAATGAAAGTCGCAGGAAGGACTATAAACAAGGTCACAGAGAGAAATTACACTGTATTTCACTGAGTTTGAAATTGCGGGCACTAGAGCCAGAAGACATCACGACGATGCACCAGTCCCACTTTCTTGCTTCATAAAGAAGGAGTCGAGGTCCCAGAGATGGGAAAGGCCTTACTCAAAGCCGCGAGGCAAGGTGGCAGCTTGCCCTCAGCCTCCTTCCTCCCTGGTACCTGCTCTAACCCGTCACCCCTGCGGCTCCTTCCTCAAGCCTAACCTGTGCCCTCCTGGCTGCTTCTGTGAGGCAGGTACAGATCTGTGTCTCTGTTATGGAAAAGGAATTAATCAGCACCAATTTCAGGTCTCTCTGGACCTGTCACCATGGCACCAAAAGACTTCACAAACTCTTAGAGAAGTGGGCACAAGATTGGTTGGTTTAAAATGCTACAAGCTCATGCTTACGTGCAATGCTGATTTGTGAATACTCACCATTTCATTAACTAAATAGTAACATTTCAAGTGATCACTTGATCCCCAAGTCCTAGGATCCCCAGGAAGGGAGTTAACAGCTGTGAGGTGAGGCCATCAGCACTCCTTTCTCCCATGTCTTCTGACTTCAATGGAACTTCGCCCCCTAGCACTGCCACCCCCTGGGGTCCAATGCCACCACAACCAGGGCCTAAGGCCACCAGCAAAGGACTCGGTGACCCACCAGAGTCCACGGGACCCCTCCTCTTCTCTAGGCACCAGTGACACCTGTAGGATGTGGAGAAATTGGTTAATCTCTAAAAGGACCTCATGGCTCACAGGGAGCTATCTTCCTCCTGGCTCTTGGCCAGGCCTCCTCAGACACACTGACAATTTTTCAGGAACCACAGTTCCTTCCTCTGTTTACACACCCACCACTTGCCACGGCTCTCTGGTCCTTCTCACTTCTTTGGGGACAAGGCTGTTTACTCCTGGAAAATACAGGTGGCCCCTTTCCAGGAGTCTGTTTTTGGCCCTGCATAACAGGTGCACTGGGTTGTTTGGGAAACAGCCTGAACACCAGGAGCCTCTGGCCCAGGCTTCCCCCAGCCTGCCATCCATTCATCACACAGAGCTGAGCCAAGGAAGGTGCCAACTCACACCAGTCCATCATCCCTCAGAGGCAGATTCGCCTTGAGCAATGAGGTTCTCACTTTGGCATCATTTGGACAGTCACACTTACAGAAGGGCCATTACTGCAGGCTCCCTCTCACATTCTGACAGGTTGCATCACGTCCCCATGAGACTCTGGCTTCTGTGTCACTCACATGCCTGCCAGGTCACTGTTTTTAATCTCTATGCCAACTTCCCACAGGCCTCAGCAAGTGTTGCCTGAGGGCTGGTCCTGCCAAGGAGAAGCAAGGTGACGTGTTAAGTGAACAACAGGTAAGAACGATAAAAAATTTAAAAAAGCCCCCCACGATCAGAAAGCTGGACGGCTGCCTAAGACTATATCCCACCAGGGTAGTCCTAGGAATGTCCATATTTTTCTGTCCCAGTGAGGAAGCCAGGATCCATCAACTAGTGCCCAAAGAATTCTCCGTCTTAAAGACATCCATCATGGCTCCAGCCCTGGTCTTCAGGTGAGCCCCAGATGTCACATGTGACCCTCCATGGGCTGGAGCTCAGGCTTCGCAGGCACAAGGTTTCACAGAAGGGCCAGCTCCTCCTCAGGGCCCACCCACCTTAGGCAAGGGCTTGGAATAACCAGAGCTAACCACTAAGTTTGTAGCTCAGAAAATTGGAAAAGGTAAATGGAGCCCAAGGATAGGGCCCTTTGTTTATTTTCTATTGCTGCATAACAAACTGCCACAGCCTGGTGGCTTCAAATACCCGTTTACAGGCTCACAGCTCTGTAGGTGAGAAATAGGAAGGCATGGCAGGGCTCTGTGCTCAGGGTATCAAAAGGCCAAAATCTAGATGTTGTCCACACTGAGCTGTTATCTGGAGACTCTGAGAGAGAATCCCCTCCCAAGTTCATTTAGCGTGTTGGCAGAATCCAGTTTCAGTGTCTGGCCATAGACTGGGGTCCCTGGTGCTTTGCTGGTTCCCAGGCAAGGGTCGCTCTCTGATTCTTGCATACAGGCCCCTCCATCTTCAAAGCCGGCATAGAGCATGGTGCTGGTTCTCCAAGTTTCTCTGACGTCCCTGTCTAAAGCCAGGCTAGCAAAGCTCCGTGCTCTAAGGCCTCCTGTGATTAGGTCAGGCCCAGCCAGTACCCTCCTTATCTTCAAGTCCACTGTGCCATATACCACAGCATAATCACAGGAGTGATGTCTCATCATATTCAAAAGGTCTGGAGATCAGGGAGAGACATCTCTGGGAGGGCATTTTAGAAACCCTGCCTACCATAGGCCCATATCTAGTGTCCATTCTGTACAACCGAGGTTCGGCCAACAAAGGTGAGAACAGCAGCTGTGTGTGCGTGTGTGTGTGTGTGTGTGTGTGTGTGTGTGTGTGTGTCCACTCACATGTCCTTCTTTCCCTCTCAGGGCTGTGTGGAAGCCCCACATGTGTCACAACAATAAAAAAAGTTACTTTAAGCTTTATTTGAATTATAGAACCATGGGGGCCTCTGGCTGTAAAGGACTTTACAGACTACACACTCCGACTCTCTCATAAGGCAGCTTTTTTTTTAATACCTCCAATAACAGAGAGCTCACTACATTTCTGATTAAGACATTAGCATTCAATCATTATTTCAAAAAAACATTTACCAAGCGCCTACTCTGTGCCAGGCCAACGCTAGGCACATAAACACAAGGTTAACAAAACGTGATCTGTTGCCACTGTTAGAAAGCACTTCCTTATGAGGGGCCGAGATCTGTCTGTCCACAGTCCCACCTGTTGTACCTCGTGCTAGCTCTTAGGACACCAGAGTAAGCCAGTCTGACACAGCTGGCACACACCCTCCCTCCCCTGCTCCCATATCCGCCTGGCAGAAACACACTCCTGCCAAAGAGCTGGCAGGGTGTGGGGTTGTGAGGACACCAGTTCCAGGACACGCCTGAGGGCCCAAAGGGCCAGAGAGCAGCTTCATCCTCCCTGAAATGGACGGTCCTCCTGGGCCCCAGGGAACTTCTTGCCTGACCAGGTTGTCAATGCAAGGAGATGAACAGCATCTCTCAGCACCTGTCTGGTGCCTCTACCCGCTCTATGGCCTTTGCTGTCTCCGCCATTCACTGTGTCCCCACCTTTACCCTGCCCCACTCCCCACCCCTCCTCAGCTCCTGGGAACCAGGTGCCCCAAAGCCTTTGATTATAATATTAGATTCATATGCTAAACCCAAGTTAAGAACCCAGCGCCCTCCTTGCTCTTCTAGAGAAGAGCCAGCATCTTCCCAGAGGCTTTCTGAAGCCCACTGCCCTGTGTAATCTGTCCAGAGGATTTCCAGGCAGGAAGGGGGCACTAAAGCAAACCTTTCCCCAAAGGCTCTCAACTGAGGCCACACATGGACTCCACTCCATTCAATAAACTACCATGAACCACGCCCTGGGGGTAACCAGGTAGATAAAATATAACCCTGACTCCAGGGGCTGACTGCTAATGGCACTGATGACTGGACAGCTCAACAGACTGTCTCACACAACGTGGTCAGTGTGATGAGACACCCTGGATATTCTGGGATCCCAGAGGAGACACCTAATCCAGATCGGGGATGGGATCAGGGGAGCAGTAGGGCCGGAGAAAGCTCCTTGCATCATTCCCAGAGGGAGAGAGGAACATTCCAGAAGGGGGAGGCTTCTCTGAACCCCTCCCCCACACACTGAGATCATTCCAGCAGCCCCTGCCCCTCCAGATGAGATACTTCATAGGCTTGAAGCAAGAGTCACAAACCAGCATGGGTTTTATTAACAATCTGAATCTGCAGGTCATTAGGTGGGGCCGGCATTCCCCAACTCCACAGGCTCATCTGCTCCTACTGCTTTCATTGTCACTGCACTGATTCACATGAACGTGAAGACCTCAGGTCTAAGGAGAGGTCCCAGCCTATCCGGAAAGGAGAAGGCAAAAACAGCTGACCATGCTGCATGCTGCACAATGGGCCTACAGGAGGGTAGGCCCAGGGCTTGGGGCCCCACAGAGAGCACTGTGGCCAGTGGCCAGTGGCCTGATCAAGTAGGTGTAGCTTTGATTTATGCACCTGAAGCCCATCAAGTGTAAAGACTCACAACTTCACCCCCTGTCTCTCCTTTCACTTCCCTCTGACAACCTGCCCTCACCTATGGCTGTCCTCCCCACTCTCCCTCCTGATCAAAGGTCGGTCTCTATTTGCCTGCCTCCTCCGGCTCTCACTTTCCCCAGTCCTTCCCAGCTGCCCCTCTACCCAGTAGATCCCAGAGGTCAACATGAAATACAATCTTTACCACCTTTTATTTATTTATTTATTTATTTTTAGCTGAGCCATCCTGCCACCTGTTGGCAGCTCAGCGGCAGCTCAGCTCAGGCCAGGAATCGAACCACTGTTGCTCAGAGCTCAAACTCTTGAGCGAGCTCTTAACCAACTGAGCCACTCGGCTGGCCCTTTACCACCTTTTAAATTAACTCTTAAACTTTGTATTTTTAACTTGGAAAGAAGATTGAGTTTCAAGTGAAGCTCCTTTGTCA